ATGATGATGATGATGATGATGATGATGATGATGATGATGATGATGATGATGATGATGATGATGATGATGATGATGCTGCTGATGATGATGATGATGATGATGATGATGATGATGATGATGATGATGATGATGATGATGATGATGATGATGATGATGATGATGATGATGATGATGATGACGATGATGATGATGATGAGGAGGAGGATGAGGAGGAGGAGGAGGAGCAGGAGGACGAGGAGGAGGAGGAGGAGGAACATAAGGATGATAACACGAAGAAATACGAGGAGAAGGAGGAGGACGAGGAGGAGGAGGAGGAGGAGGGACATAAGGATAATAATACGAAGAAATAGGAAGAGGAGGAGGAGGAGGAGGAGGAGGAGGAGGAGGAGGAGGAGGAGGAGGAGGAGGGCAGCGTTGCCTTCCCTCCCTCCCCATCGGCGTATGCAATCGACTACATTACCGTCTCGTTCTTCCTCTCTCTTATCTCCTGGTTTTCTCTTCCATCCCCCTGGCGCTGGCCAGGCGGGAGGGGTTGGAGGGTTTCAATCCTTCGACAAGACAGTCCGCAATCACGAGCCACGAGGGGGAGGAGGGGGAGGACGAGAAGGAGGAGTGGCGGAGGAGGAGGAAAGGGAGGAACAGGAGGTGGAGGATGAGGACGAGGATGATGACGAGGAGGCGGATGAGGAGGAGGAGGAGGACGACGAGGAGGGGGAGGATGCCCCACGTCGACGCTTCTCCTCGACCCTGCGCCGCCTCCTCCTTTCCTCCTTCCTCGTTCCTCCTTTCCTCCTGCTCCCCCTTCTCCTGCTCGACCTCTCGGCCCTTTGCCGGGGTGGCCTTTGGCGCGTGGCTTCGACTGGTCGGTCGGCACAGCTCTGTCGGATGTTCCCGTCGGTTCCTGGAGGGCTTCCCGCCTCTGGCTGCGTTCCAGCTGCTGCGCCTCGCCGAGAGCATTCTGGGGGCACCCGAGTTGTTCAAAACGGCCGCCAGAGGTCCAAGTTATGACCCGAAAGATGGGTGACCCTTCGCCAAAGTCGCCTTGCGCGCGGCTTTGGCGGGTGCAGGGGGGAGGGGGAGGGGGGTGGAGCAAATCCCAGCACGCAGGCCGCTTCAGTCGCACCGAGTGCAACGATCGCTGAGCCGCGCAGACAAGGCCACTCATGCCGAGGGTCATTTCTGGCGTGTCGCCGAACAGACGGCCTTCTTGCAGTTGCGGGAGGACGAAGGGATGGGTTTGGGAAGGGGGGCTTGCGAAATCTGTTGCGTGCACCTGGCTTTGGCGCCCCTGGAATGAGGATAAGGATGGGGATGTGGAGCTCTCGGGCCCCTGGCCCATCCATTTCGAGCACCCGGGCCCCACAGGTTCGTCTGCCGTCTCCTCTTCGTCGTCGTCGTCGTCCTCCTCCTCCTCCTCCTCCTCCTCCTCTCAGATCCTGTTGTGACTGATCGCAGTGCAGGCGCGCCCTTGGGGGGGGGGGAGGGATGTTAGGCGCGAGGGAGTCCTTCTGAAGCCCGGCATTTCACTTCTGACTAGAGGGGGTCTGGCCTTCCCCCTCTCGCCGCGTAGCTGGCATCGGGGGGACGGAAATGGGGATGGGGATGCGCGGGATGCCAAGAATCAGGATGAGGAGATGACGAGGGGATGGGGAGAGGGGCTGGAGACCAGTGCAACGGTCTGGCTCGTAGCCTGTAGTGGCCAGCGTTCATGCCCACGCACCGTTCGGTGTACAGTCAACCCGCATAGCAATGATGAGCAATTTTCCAAGGTTGCCCTTGCATCTTTCTCTTTCGACCCCTATCTGACCGTTTTCGCTGGCCGCGCCCCGCCCGCAGAGTGTTGGCACGGCATTCCGAGGCCATTGCATCCTTGCCGTGCGTCCTGGCTGCATGGACTGTATGCTCTGTCAGTCGGTCAGACCGACGACGAGGGGATGGGGCGCAGAGAGGCGAGGAGGAGGAGGAGGAGGAGGAGGAGCAGGAGGAGGCGGAGGAGGAGGCGGAGGAGGAGGAGGAGGAGGCGGAGGAGGAGGAGGAGTAGGAGGAGAGGAGGCGGAGGAGGAGGAGGCGGAGGATGATTATGATGATGAGGAGGAGGAGGCGGAGGTGGAGGAGAAGGAGGAGGAGCCTCGGGAGGGGCTGCCTGCTGGGGCGGGCGGCCGCGCAGCGCCTGGGGTGCCGGCCCCGCCGCCGCGGAGCCCAGCTGCGATATGGCCGAGCAGCGGCCGGTGCAGCGGTGCGGTGCGGGGGGCCGGGCCCTGCCCGCTTCCAGGGCGTGGTGGGCAGGCCTGGCAGCATCCTGGCTCAACCCTGCTTAGCCTCCTCCTCCTCCTCCTCCTCCTCCTCCTCCTCCTCCTCCTCTCCTCCTCCTCCTCCCTCCTCCTCCTCCTCCTCCTCCTCCTCCTCCTCCTCCTCTCCTTCCGCTTACGATCCTCCTCACTTGGACAGCAAGGTCATCCTGAGCCGCCTCGCCCTCCGCCCCGCCCCCCTCTCTCTTTCCGCTGTGGTCCTGCCGCTGTTGCCGCCGCCCCCCGGCGCGCAGGGCCCTCGAGTGCCGTGGCGCGGCCTGGAGCCCTGCCCCCCGGGCGCGCGCGAGAGGAAAGAGATCGCAACCTCTTGTGCTGCGGGTCCCGTCCCCGCCCATGTCGCATATCACTGCAATCCCCCGTCGCCGGCTTGCGAGGTTGATCGCCGAATCGACGGTGGTCTACGTCGGCGCCGACGTTTCCGCGTTCCGTCTTGGTCACGGCCTTCGTGCTTCTTTTCCCCCTGCGGCAGGCTCTCCCCCCCGAAACCGCTGGCGATGTGTTTTTGGTCTTGGCCAGCATTTTTCCTTGATTTAGCCTGCTGCCACCGGGCCCTGGGGCCACCGAGAGTTGATCCGGGGCGGAAGTCTACCCCCGAGGAGCGGGTGTGGACCTCCTCGGCCTGGGCCGAGCGTGAGAAAACACCCAACAAAGATGTCGTCGGGCGTCAGGGGCCCTGTGCTTCGAGGGTCGAAGCGGGCTCCTTCTTGTCTCTTCTCGTGCTCTTTTCTTCTCCGCCTTCGTACTCCAAGTCGCCTCTGGTGCACCCCGCCGCTCGCTGACCAGCGCCGGGCTGTCTTGGACTTTTTGGTGCCGGCAGGCTTCGAAAGTTTTGAGGGTCGGGGCTCGAGGGCCCAGGTCGCCGAGTATATTTGTTTTTCGTTCCTGACACCTTCATTGGTCCTGGAAGCTTGCGCCATTTTGCCGACCCCAGAAGATATGCGGTTTCGAAGATTTGCCCGTCGTGCGACCTGCGTGTAATTGCTGATGAGTCCGCGCTTGTGGCGGCGTTTCTGTAGGGCCTTTCGAGGCCTGTGGGGGCGGCCTCTTGGAGCGTTGCAAGGTCCTGGAGGGCTTTGGGTTGAAAACTTTTTGGGTTGACTGTGGAACACCGTTTGGGTCGTCGTGGGATTCCGCAGTGTCCTGGTGGGCCAGTGTTGGGGCTTTCTGTGTGGCGTCTTGAGCCGTATTTGGGGCCACCTTGGAGGCCATCCGTTTTGCGGTGCCGTTCCTCCCCTGGCGTTCCTGGTGGGCCATTTGGCATGGATACCCTTGCCAGACATCCTACCAGATGGCCCTGCCAGGCGTGGCGCCCAGTGCTCTACCCCCCTTGCCAAACGGCAGATGGTGGCGGGGAGGCGCACGATGCGGGAAACCCCACTGCAGAGGGGGAGCGGGGGAGGGGCGACAACCAAGTGCTTCGCACGCCTTTTCACCCCCAGCGAGCGGGGCCCGAAAATGAGGCCGGCGCCAGCATTTTGAAAACAAATGCAGGCGAAAACCCAACTCCGGGGAAACCTGTGTGTAAAAAAAAGTACGCGGGGGGGGGTCGGACACTCCCAGGCCGTCACCAGGGGAAGAGGGAGAGTAGTGTTCATATTGAGTAATTGTCAAGTGCCTCGCACGCTTCGTCGCCCCCAGCGAGCGGGGGTCGGCGGATCTCGGAGCTTCCAGGGCCCGCTGCTCGGCCCGAGGCAGGCGGGCCCCGCGGTTTTCCGCGGTCGTCCTGCTCCCGGGGCCCTCCACGGGCCACGGGGCCGTCGGACAACGGTGCAGGAGGAGTGGTTCGTCCGGGGGGCCTCGGGGTCCAGGACTTAGTGGGCCCTGGAAACGACAGGGCCCTTTTTTTTACCGGTTCCGTTTTGCCGCTTTTTCGCCGTTTCTGACGCCGTTTTTTGACCGGTTCCGCCGCCGTTTTTTGACCGGTTCCGGCTCCGGCTCCAATCTTGGAGCCGTTTTTTTTGTCGTTTCCAGTCGCCGTTTTTTTGCCGTTTCCATTTTCAAGGGGCATTTTTTGGAAACGGTGAAAAAACGGCCCTGCCGTTTCCGGGGCCCACAAAAGTCCAGGACCCGCTTCTCACGGGACCCGTCTCTTTCATGCTGGGTTGTCGGGCCCGGGTCCATCAAACAGGGAAGCCGATTCCGGCCAGATGGGGCCCCACAGGGGTTCCAAGTCTTCACGCCCCCCCCTCTCTCGCCCCTGCAAACCACGCCGACGACGAGAGAACAGCGAGCAACCAAAGGAGCAACCTGCCCACGTTCCGCAACCACTGTCGTTCAAGATACCCTCCAGCAGGATCGCTCCGCCCTCGATGCCCTGAGACCCGACGAGGCGAATCACATGGCAACATTGCGAAGAATCACGACCAGAGCCCCAGATCCCATCTGTCCGCGGCCTCTTTCGAGCCGGGTAGATCTGTGATGGTCCTGGCTACCGAAGAGGGGCGAAAACGCCTGCTGTAACACATTTCAGACGGTTAAGTCGGGCATCTCCTTCTACATGAGGAAAACTCAAGAACAGTATAACAGCTGGTGACGTTTTCTCGTTTTTTGTGTTTTGACTGCGCTTGATACTTGTTTGACTATGTTTTAGGCTTCTTCCAAAATCCGCCTGTAGGAGGACATGCCCGGCCCAAACCAACGCTCAGATCTCAGGGCCCGCCATCGATGGCAGCAGGCCCGCCCGCGCGACGGATGCCACCGCCGGACGCCACGCCGCCGGACCACTGCGGCGGCGCCCGCGCCGAGGACTTCCGCGCCGCGCTCGAGGGCGCCGTCGCGCGGATCCTGGAGGCGCACCGATGCGAGGTTCGAGTAGGGAATCGACTACAGAATCGATTAACCCCGAAATCGATCCTTGCGTCGGATCTGCGATAAGTGCGCAGAATGCTCCGTAGATCGCGAAGCGTCTGACGTACCTCTCGTAGGTTCGACGGTGAGGTCAATTTTTGGGGCGAATCAATCTCGTAGGCGATCCCCTGCTCGAGAGGTGGCGGAGCTGGAGGCACGGCTCCACGCCAGCAGCCCGGAGCCGCCCGGAGACCTCTGCAGACAGCCGCCGCCTCCCGGGCACTGCCCAGGCTTCCCGCCGCCAGAGGCCCACGAGCGGCGAAGCACGTCCAGATCCCCCTCCCCTCCTCCTCCTCTCCTCCTCCTCCTCCCTCCTCTCCTCCTCCTCCCTCCTCCTCCCTCCTCCTCCTCCTCCTCCCCCCCTCCTCCTCCCCCTCCTCCTCCTCTTCTCCTCCTCCTCCTCCTCCTCCTCCTCCTCCTCCTCCTCCTCCTTCGGGGGCCCCTCGGCTGGGCGCAGCTCGGAGAATGGATGCGTCTGGATCCTGCAAGGGGCCCGGGGTCTGGGGGCCGAAGCCCAGCTGCTGCTGTCTCAACTCGCCTTCCTTCGAGTGTCCTCGCAGCCTGCGCGCCGAGGCGCGACCCCATGGATCCTGGACGCGCGAACCCCTGGGTGCGTTCCAATCGGGGCATCCGCGCAATGCCGCCCTGCGTCCATGGGGCCGCGGTCGGGGAGTCCAGGCCGGGAGGCGGTGGATCTGGGCATACTGCTTCCCGCCCACGAGAGGTGTATGTGCCGGTGCAGCAGCCCGCAGTCATCTCATCAGTGTTCGAGGGCAGCGCTCCAGGGCCGAACGAGGTCAAGCCCCAGGAGCCGAAGCACGGATGGGTCGGGCCTAGCAACGGCGGCGGTGGGCTTGTCGGCTCCTCAAGCTTGGTGCCATCATTGGCAGCAGCGGTAACCAAACCTGCAGCGTCTTCGTCGATCATCGGGCATGTTGGAGGAACCCAATGGCAGTGGAAGCATCGCGATGGGTGGAAAAACTACGACCAGGCCGTTTCCGACAAGATCGAGGAGACCTTCCAGAGAGGCCATCCAAAGGTTCGCCTCAAGGCAGGAAAGAAGAGCAGTAGTCCAATGGAAATTTTTTTCGCTGACATGGTCCAGCACGATGCCAGCACAGGGAACACAAGGGACGTCCGCCGGGTGGGCCCAGAGAGATGGTGGATGGGTGTGAAGCGGCACGTTCTATCGTATTACTACGCTTGGGACACAGGGTTGCCGAGGACGGATACATTAGAGAACGCAAAGGCGCGCAAGAGGCGGATCGAAATGGATGGCGTATGTTCGGTGTTCATTCCACGCGACCCGGTGCTGAGCATGTACAAGTCATCTGGTTTTTCTGCGGCAGTCGTCAAGAACAGTTTATTCCAGGGTTTCGCAACCGCCCTGGTCGCCCTGAACACGATCTGGATCGCCATAGATTTAGACAACAACGATGGGCCTAGGCCTAATATTGGATTCCAGGTGGTGGACCATGCGTTCTGCGCACTCTTTTCTGTGGAAATTGCCTTTCGATTCGCAGCCTACAAGAAGAAGAAGCTCTGCCTGAAGGACGCCTGGTTTTGCTTCGATGCTATGACCGTGCTGCCGTCGGTGGTGGACAACTGGTTGTTGCCGCTGGCCGGCGCACTGGCGGGCCAGGAACGCAGCGGCTTGTTCAGCAGCGACCTCACGGTCTTGCGCGTCGTCCGGCTGCTGCGCCTCACGCGCATGTACCGCTTGATCAAGTCGATGCCGACGATGATGACGCTGTTGAGGCCGAGGAACACCAAATCTCAGAAGCAGACAGCCCGCGGAGGTCAGCGCTGGGAGGAGGGAGGAGGGAGGAGGGAGGAGGGAGGAGGAGGAGGGAGGAGGAGGAGTAGGAGGAGGAGGACCGAAGAGGGAGGAGGGAGGAGGGAGGAGGGAGGAGGGAGGAGGGAGGAGGGAGGGAGGAGGGGAGGAGGAGGGGAGGAGGAGGAGGAGGAGGAGGAGGAGGAGGAGGGAGGAGGAGGAGAGGAGGAGGAGGAGGAGGAGGAGGAGGAGGAGGACCGAAGAGGGAGGAGGGAGGAGGACGAGGACGAGGCGGAGGTCCGCGCGCACCTCTTGGATGGGCGCCGGACCTCGCTCCCTGGCGCGCGGAGCGAGCGAGTGGGCGGCGCCGGAGGCGTCGCTGCGGGGATGCGGCGCCGATCCGGGAGGCCCGCGCGGAGCTCCGAGAGGTTTCTGAGGAGGTCAGCGCTGGGAGGAGGGAGGAGGGAGGAGGGAGGAGGAGGAGGGAGGAGGAGGAGGAGGAGGAGGAGGACCGAAGAGGGAGGAGGGAGGAGGATGAGGATGAGGATGAGGATGAGGCGGAGGTTTCTGAGGACCGTAGGAAGTCTTGGAGGCCACTTGGGCCGTCTTCGTGGTTCTTGGAAGCCCCCGAGAGGAAGTGTCGTGGAACAGAGATCCCCAGGAGTTCGGCCATCCAGCCCAGCTAGAGCTTGAGCGCGCGAGAAGCGCGCGATGCTCGCGCGGCTCGTGTTTTCGGGTGCCGCCGCGAGGGCCGCTGAGCGCGGTTCACTGCTCGCAAGGTGCCTGCTCGCAAAAACGCCAGAAAAATCATATGTCTGCCTTTGTGCATGCGATGCGTCGTTTCAGGAGGGAAAAAGCACACGGACACAATTAATCGTCGATTCCCAAGAAAATATAGGAAAATATGGGAAGTGGGGGGGGGGGAAGACGGAAACCCAGAATATATGGGAAACTATGGGGAATCTGGTTATTTGTGTCTATTTGTTTTTGTGTGTCCCAGTTCCCCTTCAATCGTGCATCCTCTGCGGCGGATCCAGGCCACTTGCGAGCAGCTGCTTTGCGAGCAGCGGAGCGCGATTGTCCAAAGGGGGGGGTCGGCATCTCCACTCGGCCCGCCGGGGCTGCCCGGCGTCGACCCGGGAGGCCCGGGCGGACCTCCGAGAGCTTGTGCTCGCGCAGTTTGTGTTCTGTTCGGAGACCACGTGCGAAATCTGCCCCGACCACCCTGCGATCTCGAAGGAGGGAGGTAGAGGTCCGCTTCGCTCGGGAGGTCCTGGTCGAAGCGAACCCTCCTCCCCCCCCCGCCCCCAGAAGCCGAGGGGGGTGCTGGGGCAGCGCGGGCTCGCGTGCGGTCTCCTGCCCGCTCCGCCGCGAGGGGGATCAGCACCTCCATCCGGCCCGTGAGCATCGCGGTGTGCCTGCTGCTGATCATGATCTATGCGTGGGGTCCGGGCCCCTGCCGCCAGGCCCCCCCCCCGGGGGGAGCCCGCCCGCGGGTCCCCTCGCCTCGCGGGTGGTGCACCCCGAGCGCGCGGAGCCTGGGCGGTGGCACGGGGCGCTCCACCTCCTCGCCCCCCTTTTTGTTCGCTCCTCTCCTTCGCCTTGGCTGCCTTTCTCCTTACTCCTCCGCCTCGATGTCTTCCTCCTCTTCCGCTTCCAGTTCGTATTCCTCCTCCTCCTCCTCCTTTTCCTCGGGCTCCTCCCTCTCCTCCTCTTCCTCTTCCCATCCCTCTTGAGGCCCACTTGGTGTCCTCCTGGGGATCTCTCTGAGGCTTCTTGTTGGCCCTGTTCGGGGCCTCTTGGAAGCCTGTTGAGGGTTCTTGGGGCCGTCTTGGGCCCCTGCTGGCCGTCTTGAAAACCTCGTGGCCGTCTTGGACCCCTTTTGGCCCCTTTTGGCCGTCGTAGGGGCCCCTTCAAACATCATGGGGCTCTCTTGGGGTCCTCTTGCCGTCCTGTAGGCATCCTGGAGGCATCTTGGGCCATTTTGGGTTGCCGAATGTTTCAGAAGGCCACAGCGCGAGAATCTGTTAGAATTTGGGGAATGTTGGGTCATCGTTGGGCATCTTTGGGCCATCTCGGTCGTCCTGGGCCCTTGAGACCTTCGGAGCCTCCTGGGGCCGTCTTCGAGGCCTCTTGACTTTAAGGGTAGCTCTTTGGGAGATGTTATAGAGGATCGGGAGTGTAGCCTGCGCGCCGCTGCCTTTGGCTCAAGGCACGCGCGCCCTATTTGCCCGGAGACTTGCCTTAGTGTTCGCTATGTGCTGGAAAGATCATTACATCGATCTTATCCTATCCTATCCAGCCACTTCCCATATCGTATTCCTTCGACATGGAATTGGATGCTATATGATCTGCCAGAGTCATTTCAGACTTGGTAGCGGAGCTGGCCGCACTCTCGTGTGGTCAGTTCTTGCTCTTCTTATCCTCACGCTATCCGGCACGATCTTCGTGACCAACTTCCACCCTGCGCCACCACTCCAACCACATTTACGAGGATCAATTCAAGAGAAAGAAGCAACACGAGAGGTACGACGTCTAGACAGCAACATTGGTACCATATGCGCTTCATCACTACGCTACTACCAATCGCTCGGCAACGAGCCAAAAGCGCAGTACTTGAAGCATAGGCGGGGAGACCCGCAAGATAAAGCGCCTCGTAGATTTGAGAAGGCGCTACAAGCCCTACCCCAGCGCGGCAACGCGCTTGATAACCACCCATATCTTCACAGCCTTGGGCTGGTTATCTTCGCCATCGTATGGTTTGCGCTGGGGGGAGCAATCGGACACATGCGCCGAGGAGACAATAGCACAGATGGGCAAACACATGGCCCATACTGGGGCCCTCAAGGCAACGTACCTTTCCGCGAATACGTTTATGAGTTCAACGCGTGGCTTAACGTCACAAGCGGACGCATGACGCCACAAGCCCAAGCAGCCGCCATACAACGCGGCCTGGGTGGCCTAGCGAGGACACTCGCCATGAGGGTACCACCTGACATTATAAAGTATGGTGCGGACATCGATGGTGTCCACACCGACCCAGTAACCTATATTATGTTCCTCCTAAGCATGAAGTTCGAACGCTTGGAAGATGAGCGCCAGCCCACTTCAGGCACTCAGCTCATCGACTTCCACGTGCCTCACGGAGAACGAATCGATGTAACCCTTACTCGGTTCGAGATGGCCCGTCTTGAGGCACAGTCGGTGGGTTTTGACCTTCCCAACTTCCAACTGCTCACGACTATCCTGTTCCGCGCCCTAGGCGTTGGCAACCAGCGAGCCGTGCAACTCTTACAGCCACTCAACCACCAAATGCCCCGAACACAACAGCAGTATCACGAACTGTGTGAGAGGATGCGCTCTATGGGCCATTTGTCAGAACGGTCTCCTGGCAACATAGGATCAGTGTTTGGAAGGGGAAGGGGAACTGGCAGTGGAAACGTCTATACTACCTTAACCACTGAAGCTCAGCCTGGCAACGGGCCCTCAAACATATGGGCCGACGATCCTGGAGAATCTACTGCCCTACTAGCAGGGGATCGATCACAACCGAGCTGGGCAACCAGCCCTCCTCCTAGAGCCTCAACCCCACCGTTCCCTGTGGGGTGAAGCGAATCCCCTAAATGATGGGAGATCCACCTACTTAGGTAACGACGACTTCGACTCCGGCACCGACGCCGACACAATATCATCAGATGGTATCGAACCCCTAGATTGGTCAGATATCATGCAAATGGAGGGGGGCAATCAGCGTGCCGAACGCCTGTTCTGGTTATTACAACAAGCAAAGCGTAGGTGGAGGAGGTTTACACGAAAACCAGTGCGTCGTGTTAGGAGGAGGATACGGAGGAGCTTCAAAGGAAAAGGTAAGGGCAAACGGGGTCGCCGAAGGTTGAACGGACGAGGCATCTCGGCTTTCTTCCAGAGGCTTTCAGATGATCAGTATGATGAGATATTTTTTCGGGGAAAAGGCCGTGGAAAAGGCCGTGGGGAGACCTCAGGCAAAGGTAAAGGTAGGCGGGGGAACCCGCGAGGTAGAGACGGCCAGATCTTAAAGTGCCATGAGTGTGATAGTACCGATCATCTTGTAAAGGATTGTCCAGCGAAGGGAAATGGAAAGGGTAGATCGACCGAAGCCCATTTAGGCTCAAGTGTACCGTCTATGGAAAATCTGAGCCTCCAAGACTTCGAGGCTGTGGAGCAGTTTTTTTTCCACTTGGGCTAGCAGTGTGGACAATTTGGATGAGCTCGAGGCGCACGGCCATGGGCTTTACGCGTACTACCTCGAGTACCTCCGCAGGTTTGCTCTCGGAAATATCGAGCTTACGCCTGTGGAGAACGGGGCGCTGAGAAACCAGCCCCTCTCTTTCTTCGACTGGATGTTCGGTGACCCAGGCAACATCATGGCCTGCGAAAGCAGCGACGAGGAAGTCGCTGTTGAGGCCTCGCCTTCGGAGGTGGACCACAACCTTCGACGTCAACCCGACCTCGTGCCTGGAAACAGGCCCACTCCAGTATATCCTCCAAATTATGGTGATCTGATGGAATTAGAGGCTCAAGCATTCACCGTGGGCGTGCCAGGAGACCCACGCGTACCACCTGGCATGCTCGCGCCAGGCGAGTACGGGCCGCACACGATACTGCAGACTCTCATGCAGATGCACGCTGTACTGGCCGTAGCATATCCCGAGAGTCAAGAGAGTGTCGAGAGTGGCCACATGATGCTACAAGACACCGATGCCTGTGACGACTCGGAGTTATTGTTAGCGGCCCTTGCTCTCATCGACAGCGTGCACCCTGAGGGCGTGCAGCGACACGTGGTATTCTAGAGGGAGATGGCGCCAAACCCTTGAAAGGGCCATCTCCATGCGTGGACAGGCTCTCCCTCCGCCGGGATGGGGTCTCCAGGCGGCGGGACTACAGCCCAACCACACGGCCATGCGACATGTTATCGGGCAGCCCTCATATGACTATGATCAGCTCGAGGTGCACGCTATGCTCGGCAACGAGCCTGAGCCGACTACCGTACCGCCGACTCCGGGACAGCCAAGCGATGCTCAGACGCTTGTACAGCAGGGGAACCTGCCAGTCCCGGCTGGGCCAATGACCATTGTCATTGGCAACCCTATGTCAGAAGTTGAAGAAGATGATGGATGTGGAATGTGCGAGGACGAGACCACCATCCGCATGATGGAAGGCAACGGTAAAGACGAGGAGGTGGACTATGACCCAGACAGTCCTGACGCACCACCACTCGCACAAGAGCAAATTGTGCCAGACTCCAGTCAGCAGGGAGACCTGCCTGCCCAAGATGCGCCGCCTGCGGCCCCGCAGGGACCCCCGCCGGCTCCTGCTCAGGCTACGTCGGCGGCATCATCTGATGAACATGCCAGGAGGTCTCGTTCGCATCCACGCCGTAGGGGCGACCCTCACCCTCAAGCACGGCTCCCACGCGAATGGAGGCAAGCAGCCCCGTCAGAGCATGCCTCTCGACGAGGGGGTCAGTTGCTCGCCTACCACGACCCTAGGCGTCAAACGGGTGAGCACTCTGCCTTTGGAAAGGGCAACCCAGCCTACGGGGGCGCCCAGGGCAGGTCCATGCGGGGTGGCTATCAGCTCGCGACGAACATTCGACGTCCTGAGATAGAGGCAGTGCGGAAACAGCTGCGAAGCATCATTAAGGAGCGCAAGCGCTACAGGCCAGACGCGGTCTGCGGCCCGTGCTCACAGCCATTCCAGGAACACAGACCTGGGTGTCTTGTAGGTCTCAATCAGGTCTTAAACCCGAACAGAGGCCGCACTCCTGCAAAGGAGGGTCATCCACCGTTGGTTCCTATGACCCAAGCAGAGATCGACGAGGTCAATCGTCGTCTCGGAACCACGGCTCACAGGAGCTCTACGGCCGAGGAGGTCCAACTTCCGCGGGGACTTGTGCCTATGACCCAGGAAGAGAAAGATGCGCTCAATCGCCTTCCTGGAATGCGGGGAAACCCGCCTGGCGTCTCCAGTCAGGCCTAACAGCAAGAGATGATGGATGACAATGAACAGGAGGTTCAGCGAGCCGCAGCAGAAACGGAGCGCAAGCGAGTGGCAGAAGGACGCGCCCGCGAGGCAACTCGCCGAATGCTGCTGGAGTCACAAGGGGGGGCAAGGAAGCCCCCACTCCAACCGAAGGCCAAAAGCGAAACGCGTGCACCTAGGACGCCTTCGGGAGAAAGACAGAAAGCGTCGACCCGCTCAGAGGAACTCGGGTCCGATGTGCAGATGGGGAGGCTCCTTTCTGAAGTGCCGAAGTCACCGACTCCTGAACAGAGACCCGACCCTAGGCAACAACCTCAGGACTCCGTGGAGATCCGCAGACGACAGCCTAGCCGTAGCGGCTCTATCGCCGGCAAGGCCAAGGCATTCGAGCGTGCAGGGTTTACCCCTACGCCGGCTT